TTTCATGATACACCCTAGAAAGCTATTTTTCGCCAATTCCAATTGTATACACAAAAAACAAGAAGAACCGAATTTAAACTCAAATATTAATTGACAATTAGTTGACAAACATGGCCAGCTATAAGAAACTTTCAGTATTCTCCAAAAATATCGATTTATTATTAAAAATCGAAAAAACTCTACGACTGTAACATTTAGGTACAAGGAATTATTAACAAAAGTAAAAGTATTTTGTAAGTAGATTATAAAAATGATATCAGATACGAGGTGTTCCATTTGAAATAACCGAAAAAATCATGGTCGTGAGTTTTGTATACAAAATGGAAGATATAAAAAACATGATGAGTTGCAACAAAACTGGACTACTACGAAATGACTCTGGCCTTGAGATGATAATAACCCTCAATTGTTGATTTTAAGGCAACAGGTAGATACTTTATCACATTTTTTATGAAAAAAAAAGTATTAACATTTTCTGAAGCTTTACACGTATCCCTGGAATTAATTATATGTTGATTTATTATTAATTTTTAGATGACTAATTTTTTTTATAGGTTTATAATTGTAAACAAATTTTAATGCAGGTAAATATGCTAATCTTACGAGTCCCAATATAAATATATATTGATATGATATTTTAATTCAAAATTAGAAGTATTACATGTTTGTGGTTTTCAAATTTATAATTTGATAATCAATGTTTGATGGGTAATGTCGGTCCTGAAAAATAAATTTTTAAGAAGAAATGAGGATGTCGACTATAAATTGTCAGATAGAATTATGAGAATTGTCAGATATTTTTTAGAGGGTTGTCAGAAAAGGGTTTATTGGATGGAAATGTAAAATTAGTTGGATATATTGAATGGAAATAAATACATGTTATACAAAAGGACCTGTGCTTGATTATTTTGGTTGAAGCAGGAACAGAATAAATATTAAAGGGAAGTAAGTTACATTTTATTAAAAATATTCATGAACGAAGTACTTATCCTGTAGAATACTACAGAAGAAGTAATTTAGTAAGCAGTTGAATATAAATAACATTTAATCAGAAAAGTTACATAGTAGACGAAGCAGTGAGGTACAATTGGGGGTACCAAGAGAACCGTCAAATCCAAAAAGAAGAAAGAACATTTTTTTGTATAATTAGTGAATTAATATATTGTTTGATTTGTTTTTAGTTTCAAAATTAATGTAAATTCGAGTTACCGGGTGAGTTAAAATTTTTTTTTTAATATATTGTAAAATTGATTGGTCATAACAAAAATTTAATATTTTATCAAAATTATCTACATAATTTATAATAAAACTAAATATTTTCATATCAAATGTCGCTAACCAACGTGGAGCTGTCAAATTGACAGGTTGTCAATGTAAGATTGACAGGTATATAAAAATTTCAATTGTCAAATTTATATAATTTTTTTCGATGGGTTATTAGGATTATTAGGATAGATAGTTTGAATTTTTGAAAAACAAATTTTATAAAATAAAGGCATTGGCGTACAATAAAAGGTAGCATAATAAATTGTTTTGAATTTGTATACATTAAATTTAAATTTCTTATAAATTAAATAGCGGGAAATAAATTTTGCCATGAATTTAAGAGGGGGAAAAAGAATAGGAGAAGGTGAAGAATTATTAGAAGAAACAGAAGTAGTAAGAAGGAACGATAGACGTGAGATAGAAAATCAAAATGACGAAGCCATAAGTTTTGAAGGAGAGAAAGATGAATCAATAAGGATCAGAGCAGAACTAGAGAAAAAGGACCAAGAAAAGACAGTAATTCAAATGTTGATAGAAATGAATGAAAATAGAAGAAATAATAAAGAAGAAAGAAAAAAAAGAAAGGTTAGAAGATATAGAAATAATGAATAAAAAAATGGATGAAATAGATAAACAAATGGACGAAATGAATAAAAAAATGGATGAAAATAGAAGAGATGATAAAGAAGTAAGGTTAGAAGATAGAGAAGAAATTATAAAAAAAATTGAGAAAATGGAGAAAAACATAAAGCAGGATATCAAAAATAAAATAGAGAAGGTGGAAATGAAATTGGAACAATCAATAAAAGCAATAGAAGATAAGAGAAAAGAAGAGAAAGAGGAGATGACATTTTTATAAATGATAAGTCAGATGAAATTAAAAAGAATATAAGAATGGACATGATTGAAAGAAGTATAGAAGTGAAAAATTTTCAAGATAATGTATTTGGAATTTTAGAAGGAAAACAAGAATTTTTAAAAGATGAAATAAAGAAAGAAACAGTCGAACAAAAATTGAAGAAAAAGATATTAGTAAAGATACAGAAAAGATAAAAAGAGAAAAAGTATGTATAAGTGGACAAAATGAAGGAAAAACAAAAATTGAAGAATTAAAAAAGAAATCGAGAAACAAAAAGGAAATTACAAAAATAATCAAACAAGATTATAAAAGGTACAAGGAAGATAAAATGAAAATAAATGTAGAAGTATTATTAAAGAAAGATATAATTAAAAAGATAAAGAAATATAAAAAACAAAAGATAATAAGGATTAAGAAATCTAAAATTATAAAAAATAAATTTAGTGCTAAACAGAAGAGTGAAAATGTATGGAAGAGGAAAATTAAAATGAAATATAGGCAGGAATTGATAAAGATAACGAAAAATAGAAGATTATCGGAGAAAGAAAGAGTAAGGACAAAAGTCAAAGAAAAGAAATTAATTTAAATAGACGGACGGAAAAACTGGAAAATCAAAATGAAATTAGAATATGGTAAACGAATTGGAAATAGGAAATATTATATTGAATATAGGATATTTTAACAGCTCACTAAATAAGTAATATAAAGAATATTTAGCAAACAAAATTTAAAAATAAAAATAGGAGTCTGATTAGAGATATTTAAAATAAAAGAGAAATAATGTATTCCAATGAAGAACAAATAAAATATTAAAGAAGAATAGAATATAAATAAAACAGAAATAATGTATTCAAATGAAGAAGAAATAGAATATTAAATAAGAATAGAATATAAAGAAAAGAATGTGTTCAAGAAGAGATTATTTAAAAATAAGGAATTGATAGAGTATAAAGTAAAAAGGTAAAGAAAGAAAATGGTTTAAGTAAAAGGAGAATAAATGAAATATGTGTATTGTGAAATATGTGTAATATGAAATATTAAATAGAATTATAAAGAAAAATAGTGTGAAGAATGTATGAAATTGGATTGAAAGTAATTAATTGTAAATAGAGCGGATTATGAATATAAAGAGAAGGACAGGAACAGAGGAAATGTTTAACAAACTTAAAAGAAATGATATAATTTGAATACAAATATAAAAAATTGGAAACATTTGGTATGAAAAGTGAGTTTTCTTATGAGTTAAGTTAGACATTTAATTTCATTATATAGTTGTAGTGAAATTATTTTTGTAACAGAGTTAATTTATTATAGTTTTGAATTGGGTTAATTTTATTTATCTTTGTTTCCATGAAATGGATTGTTGATGTTAAATATGGTTTAATTTTTGTTTGGGTAGTTATTGAAAAGTTAACAGATAGCGATGATTTGGATTGAGTAAGGAAGGAAAATTTGTATACGTTTAAATATTTATGATAAATTTGAAATTTCGTATTTGAAACTTTGTTATGAAAATAAATTTAGTAAATACGAAATTTGGGGGATTTTTGATATGATATTTTAATTCAAAATTAGAAGTATTACATGTTTGTGGTTTTTAAATTTATAATTTGATAATCAACGTTTGATGGGTAAGGTCGGTCCTGAAAAATAATTTTTTAAAAAGAAATCAGGATGTCGACTATGAATTGTCAGATAGAATTATGAGAATTGTCAGATATTTTTTAGAGGGTTGTCAGAAAAGGGTTTATTGGATGGAAATGTAAAATTAGTTGGATATATTGAATGGAAATAAATACATGTTATACAAAAGGACCTGTGCTTGATTATTTTGGTTGAAGCAGGAACAGAATAAATATTAAAGGGAAGTAAGGTACATTTTATTAAAAATATTCATGAAAGAAGTACTTATCCAGTAGAATATTACAGAAGAAGTAATTTAGTAAGCAGTTGAATATAAATAACATTTAATCAGAAAAGTTACATAGTAGACGAAGCAGTGAGGTACAATTGGGGTACCAAGAGAACCGTCAAATCCAAAAAGAAGAAAGAAAATCTTTTTGTATAATTAGTGAATTAATATATTGTTTGATTTGTTTTTAGTTTCAAAATTAATGTAAATTCACCAAACGTTGAGGGAATTTTCGAGTAAATCAGTTAAACTTGGAGGTAAGAATTTTTCAATTCATTAAGATCCAAATCATTATATTTGTTTTGAACCCACGGACCCTGAAATTAAGCAGTAAAAGTCGAGTTACCGGGTGAGTTAACATTTTTTTTTTAATATATTGTAAAATTGATTGGTCATAACAAAAATTTTATATTTTATCAAAATTATCTACATAATTTATAATAAAACTAAATATTTTCATATCAATATTTTAAATGAGTTGTTTGCTTAATCTGGTACACGTCTTATATAGCATATGACAAAAGTAATAATTTGTAATAATAAAAAAGTAACTAACTTAAAGATTTACATACATTCACATTCATTTATTGAATCCTTAATTATAAAATAAGTCTTCCGAACCGTTTACAAGACACAGTAGATATTATTATGCAAAAACTGACCTACCTCAAATCAATTAGAATAAAACTTACGAGACGGTCAACTAACGATATAAAAAACAATAATTTAAAAGTAGAATTCCCAATTTATTACTAACGAATAAAACTGATGCTAATGAAAATATAAATTTTTTACTCATTTATTGAATCCCTAACTATGAAAAGTGGATATTATTACGCAAAATACTGACCTGCCTCAAATCATTTAGAATAAAACTTTAAAATAACAGTAATATGAAAATAGAATTCCTAATTTATTGTACCAATAAAATTAATGCTAATGAAAATATTAATTTTGACTCACCAAAAGATCCTTCGGATAGGTACGTCGGCCACAAAATTCAACTGGTTTTGTTATTAACTTCTTTGAAATAAGGAGCAAAACAAACCTGATCTGCGAAGGCAATTTCTGAATTAAATTCGGTGCCATGTTGCCAGGCTCAAATTCCTGTTGCGGCCGAAGAAGCGAATATTAAACAATGTAAACTCATATTAAAGCTGTATAATACAATTTAAATTAATTGACTTAAGAACATCTTATAGATATTTTATTTGAGTATAATCTACGTTTGAAAATCAATATTGTCAGCAACTGCAATGTTTCTTATAATGGGATGATGATGCTGATATGAAGATTTATAGTTTACTTGGCAACAATGTTGGTCCATTGCATTTCTTCAATAACTTGAAATAAATATGTTATGTACATTACAAAAAAAATTGTTAATTGGACTTTCCATAAATGGTATTTGCAAAGTCAACAAGTTTTATTGTTTTTTATAAAATATACTAATTTAATCTAAAGACAAACAAAACAAAAGTGGGATGACAAATGTTTTGTTTGTTTACGAAATTCCTAATAATTCTTTGTTATTTTTAAAATGTCAAACGATTATTTATGAGTGTGATTATTAATGACCAATATTAATTAATAAATTTACTATTAATAAACGATTTTATCTCATAATTAAATAAGTTCCTCGTCATATAAATATTAAGACTGTGCCATTGTCGCTTAGTGTTTATAAAATATCTGTCATAATAAAATTTAGCCAATTACAGGGTGATTAGTAAATCCAATAATTAATATTGAATGGTTTAATTTTAGTTTCTTTATATTAATATTAAATACAGGTTGGACTACTAAAATTTGCCGTAATTATTATATTAAAAAAAATAATCCAAATGATTAATCCAAAGGGGCAGTTTTATGGGGTTGAAAAGGGGTAAAAACTGTTATTATCGCGTTCTCCTGCAAAAATGACGTAAAAACAAAAATTTATATTGCAAGAGTTTTAGTAAATCAAAGAAAAATTTACAACTTTTATAGAGGTTACTTTTTAACATAACCTCAAAATTTCTCCTTCTTCCTTTATTGGGCTATATCACACAGGATAATTTACCCAGCCAACAACGGGGAGAGTATTCTTGTCTTAAAATGTTTAATCTGCTATTATTGAGGTTAGCCAACACAAAACAAATGTCAAAGGGAGTAGAAAGCTTGGTTTTTACCAGTTTAGAGTATAAATCAAAGTTTGCCATCATATTTATGGGACATTCAAAGATAATGTGGTTTAATGAGAAAATTTGACCACACTCACAAAATAGTTATTTGTTTATCAGGATAACTTAAAAGCCCTGGCAACTCTGCAGCTTATTGTTTCATCCCGCCTTTCCTTGAATTGAACAAAGGAATATTCTTTAGTTAGGTTTGTCACTACCGATGTTACCAGTCAAATGAAAGAGCCAAAAGATATTTGGTTGATTGCCTTCTTGGATAGTGAATCATTAAGACGGTTACCCAAATATTCGTAATATTTTAGTACCAACTCTTAATTAATTTGTGGTCTGACTAGTGCAACTAGTAATTGTCTGCTATCTTTCTAGATGAGCATGTTCCTTCCAGTGATATTGTTTCTAGTAATCCCCATTAGTTCGTTTTGAGCTGTATTGGTATCGCTCACAGCCTAATTTTTGTTTGGGTCCTAAGCCTTGTTTTGTTTTAGAATCATCTGTGTAGATTTAAATCGTACTTGCCACCTCCAACTCTTCTATTTGATCCGTTATAACTTTATATGGCTCTTGTATGACATATCTCGACTTCAAATGTATTGAGCGTCATCTGAGATTACATTCTATTATTTAAACAACTTTCAAGAGTATGGACTATTAGTAAGGTCATTCAGATAAACTGTAAAAGTTTATTTTATTTGTTGAACAATATACTTGCAACATTTTTTTTTAAATATCTTTGGCTCAGACAGTATTTGAACACTACGAAAATCTTTTTAGTCTAGTCGAATTAACCTGTTGGAACATATTAATGGAATGGATGTTTTAAAAATGTTTTTAAGCTTCTAGTGGTGAAGAACTTGTAAAGGCGCGCCCCGTTTGGGATCGGACCAATAAATGTTTTGTGACGTGATATTGGGTAGATGTAACTTTCTGCTTGCAAAAAAATTGGCAACTTGAGGCCGAGGTACTTAATTGCCTACATCCAGTTGCATGTTGTAAACTGGAGTGAAAATAAATAAAAAAATTAATATTGCGCTTCATGTCGTTTGCAATTCTGTACAGCGTTGTGCCGAATTATTTTATTACAATTAAATTTATGTTGTTCTTTAATAACTGGGATCCTGTTATAATAGTATAGAATGCGTTAACTCTACCATCCCGAGTCCAGAGGAACGATAAAGAAACATAACCCTATTAAATTAAAAAAACAGTATATACATCGCCTACACGCCATAGAAATAATATAGAAGACCAATATAAACATAACATTTAAGCAGAAATTGAAACCTACTGTGCATAAAAACGCGTCTCTGCGCCTGACATCGCAAAATAGTGTGTCTAGAAGCTTGCGCAATATGCATGACTTGTCCCTGTAGTGTTGCCAAATATATTAAACATACCTAACAGAAAAGAATTTTAAATTAATTAATTTTTAAATTATATGATTTAAACAGTTTATATCTACGAAATATCGAAACAAAATAACTTATAAACATTTAAATAATCAACTAATAATATTTATGTGTAATTACATTCCCAAAAATATATACAAATACCGTATTAATGTCATTAATACCGTATTTTTAATGTTCAATAAGCGATTCACCTACAAATTCAATATTGACCTGGCAATAGCACTAAAATCCGGTGTTTCAAGGCTATATGACGCTGCCCTTACAGGACCGTTTGTAGTTTATTATTTATGCCGCGTTTGAGAATCCACATCGGATGCATCTGAGATGTAGTAGTAGTAAATCTTTGATCACGTGATTCAGTATACGTAAATGTAATGGGACAGATGTGTCCGATGTGGATAAAAAACGCTAGAGATGTAAAAAATGCATCCGATGTGGATTCTCAAACGCGGCATTAATTACATGATGAAAGTGGCATTTTATTTTTAGTTTTGTGTAGTGTTTAGTCAAATCCTAGGTACACTAAAAGACATTTTTACATTTGCTAATGAAAATGTAATCAATGTATTAGGCAGCTGTTATATTTATTACAAGATTTATGTCTGCAAATCTAAACCTACCTAAGAATTATAATTATGTAAATAGAGAGCTGTATATTTATATACAGGCTACCCAGCGACGGGGAGACATTATCGATATCGGTTTTAAGGCATTTTAAAACATAAACCCGATCTCAACAATCTTAGGAACTCTTCTGTCACTCGATATTTTAATCGGTACTTCCTCTTCGCTTTTTGGCTGGCACAACAATTATTTACATTTCTTCATTCCTTACCGCGTTCGAACCAGTAAGGTTTAAAGAAATTTAAAAAAAAAACCTACTTTAAAAATAAAGATGTTAATGATTTTCTTATGGATCCCATCTTCAGATCTTGACTTAATGTATATAAAACTGTTTCCTTTTCTAACAAAAAGAATCCTAGAAATCGGGCAACGTGGTAAAGAATTATCGCTCAACGTACTTAAAAAAATATTTCAACGAATTAAGAATATCCTACCATTTTGAAGTATGTTAAAAAAAATTGTTAATAAAGTGAAAAGTAGGGCATGAACATATATTATAAGGTATATAAAATGATAGATAAATCCAGTTTAGAAGGTATTATAAATAAACTGTGGAAATATCGAGAATCTCGATTTTAAATCGGAGAAATATTCTACGCAATTTAGTATGAAAGCTGATCAAAATGAAACACATGAACGACAAACTGTTATTGACAACTTTCTTCAAACGTTTTCTATTTTTCCGAAAACTAACTAGATAGTTCGAAAATCATTTCCTTCGTTAAAACGCCTCTTGTTCCGAAAAAGGTACACACCTGTCAACATTCATCGTTCATTAAAAAAGTGGTAGATACAAAACGCTTCGTATTGTAAGGCCAAAATATATTTAGAAATCGAAATAGTCATATAAACAAAAAAATCATATGAGTGAGATAACTACCAAATTAATGATTTACAAGTTTATTCCTATTATTTATAAAATAGGTTTGCAATCTGCTGGTGTGGAATGTTATCATCGACTAAAAACTTTAAATCTTTATATTAAATTGATCGAAAACAAACTATAAATTGGTTTAGGCTATATAGAATGTTTCTAGTAAGCAGCAACTAATTTTTATTATGGAACCGAAAGACCCTTTTAAAAGGGTTCAAAATTAAAATAAAATATGTACCAAGTAAATGTAGTAGTATTTTTTAATTTTTTAATTTATATTGAAAATGGTAACATGAAAGGTTTTCTGTCTAACGACTCATAGTCTCGGCTGACAAAATGTAAAAAAATATCGAACATAATATTCCTGGGCCATATTTTGCACTCCCCAAATTAAATTTAGTTGTTGCAAATGATATTATCAAATAAGATGTCAAATCACAAGCAAAACCTCGTGACTACAGTACTAATGATTGCCTGTTTGGAAAAGTATCTTTGTTTGTAAATATTTATATGCATAGTTATATTTAAATGCGCGAGTGTAATGTTAAGTATAAACAAAATCCACCCATTATGTGTATTCGTTTAGTTACCGACCCTAGTAGATAGGCAATTTGTTATTGTTTTAAGTTTTACCGTAGGGAGAGAGAAAATCAATATTAGGATAAATGGTCCAGCTCCTTTCTGGTTACGTAGGTACCTAAAAAGTATTTTAGTTTTTGGTTAAGTAATTAATTATTGTAACAGTGATTTTCTTGTGATAGTAGGTACCTAATTTAGATTGTGGATTAAAGTTTTTGTATATAATTACGCTGTTTAATAATAAACGTAGTCAAAACCGGAGCACGTGGTTTTTCTGGAAAGTATTTTTAAAATCACAAGCAAAATCTCATGACTACTGTACTAATGATTGCCGAAAATTAACTAATTCATATTTTATGCCATATCTTTCTTAATAAGGACTGTCAGAACCATATTTACCTTAACTTGAAATTTTTTTAATCGTTTTTTGTATAGAATCATCTCTAAAAATGTATGATTGAAATGTGTGAACTATTTGTTCGATCAATAAAAAACTTGCACCGGTCCTGTTCGCGCCAGCACCGTTATACGCATGAGCTCCGACACACTATTTTCTCCTTATGGTTTCATTTTTGATATATGGAATCGGCTTTCTATACTATTTCTATGCTACACGCGCATCGCAATATATAGAAAATATCCCATTATTGCCATCGAAAGGGCGTGGTTAAATCAACTACTTTCTTTAATCTTCTTATGGCCAAATATAATTAAAGCGTCTCGTCTTTATTGCGCAGGACGGCTGTATTAACGCACGGTATAATCCTTGATTTAATTTAACCTATTTTACTTCAATTTAAAAAATGATTAAAGACCTTTATTATTTTGTTTCAGGTGCGAAATGCATTCAGCCCTCGATGTTCTGTTGAGCACCGCTTCGATATTAAATTTATGCCTAATATCTCTGGATCGGTACTGGAGCATTACGCAAGCCGTCGAATATTTAAAGAAACGAACGCCAGTACGAGCCATCGTTATGATCGGAGCAGTATGGGTGTTGTCAGCACTGATTTCCATACCACCGTTACTGGGTTGGAAGGTGCCGAGACCTACGGACATCGAGCGGTATCCAAAATGCCAGGTAACTATCAGCATTATACATTTGCTGTTTCTAGCGCAGGCTTGACCATATTCTAATCTGGGGATGTTTAAAAGGTATTCCATCGAAATCGATATTGAAATATGTAAATTTCGATAATTTGGTTTAAATTCGATTGAATATAAAAGAAGAGGGATTGAGTTATAATCCGGTGGACGATTGTGTTAAAAATATAAACGGGTTAATGAGAATCAAATCTAGAAATTATACAAAATTAATAATCGTTTATATCTGGAGAACAGTAAAAAATACTACTTCTGAACTTTTCGAATCATTGCTGCATATTTTAAAACAACAATTACATTTTTTCACTCCTCAATCATTTGAAAAAGGGATTAATAAACATTAACCCGCAAACATTCAGCAATTATTGTTAGTTTTTTGGAGATAAATGTTTAGTTAGAAAACAATGTAATACCTCAAAACTACCTTTGTATAAACCAACAACGATTTTAATGCATTAAATAAATATCTTTATCATAATATGCCACACTCATAATATGTGCCTATTGTAACAAAAACGATTACAAAATGTATCCATTCAGAAATTGCGTATGAGCCAATTGAGCACCAAGCTCTAGATGTAATAAATGTAGACCGGCCAACTGAGCACCAGGCAGGTACCTTTTCAGAGCGACCCTTTTGAGACAGGCCAATTTAGCACTTTGACCTGGAACCACTTTGTAATAATAATCCCTTAATATTCTAATTAAAAGAAACTCATTAAAAGCTTAAAACCAATTTTTATTGGGAAAACCCTAGATACTTTGATCCCTTTTTATTACGTAATAGAGTATATTATTATAAATGGAATACGCACTCAAAAGTAGGTTAAGAAAAAATGATCAGTTTCAGCTACGAAGTCGTTATCAAAACCTAAAATAATAAAAATAAATAAATTATTAATCTACTCATGAAAATACTTTAAAAAATAAAAAATAATGTTTAAAAACAGAAATAAGTAAAAAAAATTTAAAATTGCCCATATAAAATTAAATTTTTGTGAGTAATGTATTTTCATTTTATATTGGTAGGTAACAAAAATAATTGGCGGGCAAACGGAATGTTATTATTCTGTTGAATACAAATTTTTGCATAATTTTTGCAATATTGTGGTACCAAATTTTCAGACCTCGAAATGCAAAACATTCATGATTTGGATTTAAAATCATAGGCAGTTTTACATTCAATTTAAATTAGAGATAGGTACTTATTTTCATATTTGCTAATTGTAACACATTCTTAAAAACCTTTGTCAAAATACAATTTTCAAAACCAATCAAAACAACATTATCTTACTTGGGTAGAAGGGGTGACTATTGGGGTGACTTATTTATACGGCACATCCGTACAATTAAGTCTGTTCTATGTATGCTTTAATAGCTGAATTGGCTCATACCGGTTTCTATCTAAACCTTTTAGCGTTCGGATAAAAAAATATTACCTATGGAGTTAGTAACTGATTTTGTTTTAAGTGAACGTGGCCAGCAAACTTGTTCTAAATGATAATAAATTTAGAAAACGTAAAGACCTGAAAGATAAAATAATATATTGGGTGTGTTCTGTAAAGGGCTGTAAAGCAAAATGTCATACTCGAGGTAAGTTTAATTATTTTCATTATATTTATTATTGCATGTCTTAATTAGAGCATTATTATTTAAATAATCAACAGAACAATGTAAATCACTTAAAATTTTTTCAACTTGTCATAAAGGACACAACATATTTTATTACAGTCACAAAACGAAAATTGCCTAACCTGTTTAGATTCGTTAAGTGCCATAACATCTTTACAAAATAGATTTACCACAAACGTTTACAGCCAGTGAATATTAGAAATAAATACTCACATAAAAACACAAGTAAAATCATGTACAATTTTAACAGCAGCAGTAATAAAATAAGGCTGCAGCGCTCCTGTAGATAATGGTATATTTACACCAATTGAGGATATACCAGCATCTCTAAACAAAATAATATAAACAGCACAGCAATTACGCTATAATGGACAGTTGCAATCTATCAAACTCTCTGTAAAAAATGGACTTATCCTCAAAAGTTATCTAGACGTGAACAAGTTATTGCTTGCTGGTTAAAAATAAGCCACACTTACCTTACATATTTTTATCTTCTGGGTGGAAACCCTATACCTAGATACACATATTGCAACAATCGAGTCCTTCTAGAAAAAAAATTACATGCCGCTACCTAGAACAATTAATAACCTGACAATCCAACCTGAAATGAATATCATGTTAAGAATAAATAGAATATTAAGAATTCACTTATTATTTTCAGCCCCATTAATGTAGCGACTAGAATTTAAGATTCCTGAAGTAAAACAGCTAATGATCTTGGTAATCGATGCTGAAAAGAAAGTTATAGTATAATAATATAATAATTAATTTCATTAATAGTAATAATTTTAATAGTATTATTAATAGAATGAATAATAGGAATACTAATAGTTTTAATAATATTAATAATATTTATTAATAGTATTATTAACATTGTTATTATTAGAATTTAAGAGCTCAGATAGGCAGATTACCACAATACAAAGCGGGAAAAACAAGTCGCAAAATAATAGGCTTCTATCGAAAACTAGAGAACAGCATGACCATTAATACTCAACAGGATCCTTCGAATAACACTTCTTATAGATACCCTGCGCCAGAAGCTAAAATTGAACATGAAAAAATGCAACATGGATAACATCTGAAGAAGAAAGAGTATCTGAAATACCTGAGATAGAGAACGTGAAATTTTTAGTACGGGATGTCACTTTGGCAGTGAACAAAACCCAAAACTAGAAATCTACAGGTCCAGACGGTATTCATAACTTTTGGTTAAAGAGGTTCAGTTGTATTTGTAAAATTCCTTTAGTCCCCATACCAGATTCACTGGTATTTTACTAGGGGTAAGATGTTTCTGCTTTTCAAAGATGAAAACAACACACAAGACCCCTCTAAATACTGTCCCATCACTTGCGTTCATACTCCATATAAATTAATGACTGCGTGTATTGCTGATAAAATATACCAGCATCTAAATCAGAACTCTCTGTTGGCCACATAGCAAAAAGGGTGTATCAAAAACTCTCAAGGATGTAAAGAACAACTCATCATTGACGCCTATAATAAGTAGAGAAACATATTTACAGCTTTCATTGGCTATCAAAAGGCCTTTGATAGTATGCCTTATTCTTGGCTTATCAGGATGTTAGAAATGTACAAAGTAACACAAATCATAGTTGTGGGAGACCACTCTGTATCTTTTCCACAGCGAGGGTACTATACAATCTCAGCTTATCCCAATCAAAAGAGACATTTTCCTCGGAGATAGCCTTAGTCCATTGAGGTTCCGTTTTGCACTAAACTTACTGTCCACTCTTCTCAATAGCACTAGGTATGGTTTTATAATTAAAGGAGAAAATTAAATACAGTATAGACAACCATCTACTATATATATATGGACGATATTAACCTGTACGGTTCCTCTGAGAATCATATTATAACGAATTTGTTACAATTAAGTTTCTCCAACGACATTTAGATGTCTTTTGGTCTGGACAAATGTAGAAGACTAAGTATCGATAAGAGTCAGGTGATCGTCCGTGGATTTAACCTAATTAATGAAGGCTCTATTTCCGCAATGGATTAAGATGACACATACAAATATCTAAGCCTCCAACAAACGAAACGTGTAAAACACAAGGAGATTCGACACCATTCATGGTAGCGATCCAAGACCAAGTTATTCCCTCCAACAACTTCCTTAAGTACATAATAAGGACTCAAGTGGAAAATGATTTATGCAGAAAATGCAACCAACAACCCGAGACCATCCAACACATAACAAGCACTTGCCCAACACTAGTACCAAGTGAATATCTCTCAAAACATAATCAGGTACCTAAGATTGTCCATCAAAGCCTGGCGAGCTTATATAGCCACCTAAGCGAAGAGGTACTATATTACAAGTACGAGCCTAGTCCTAACAGTATTATTAATAATATTAGTATTATTAACAGCAATATTAATAGTATTATTAATAGTAATATTTTCACCCATTCCTCAACGCAACTTTTTTTCCTTAAATAAGTTGTCTCTTTTGAGCTGATTTAATTATTTTTCTTGGAATTACCCATGCCGCGATTACTTGAAAAATTTGTTCCAATTCCATAGTAATAACTCAAAATATTTAGTCATATTGCATACACAGTTTGCTTCATTCAATCATTCATATAGTGACAAACTTTGTTATTTGGTTTCAAAAACAAAAAGAACGCCATTGCGTCAATATTATTTGTTTTTAAATCAAATAAAAGTAATTTGGAACCGAATTCGATCGAAATAAAAAATCCGCCATACTTTATCTTGTGCTGGCAGTAACTTCTGTGTCTAAAGCTACGTCGTGGTGTTCGTACAAAAATGTTGTTTCCTCTCTTGGCACTCCGACTGTTAAAGTCGAGTTAAATTACACATATAAGAATTCTTTTAGAAGAAGATAAAAAAACAAGAAAGAAAAACGACTACGCTGAATGTCTGCCAGAAAATTTTACACAAGTTTTCTAGGTTGTGGAGATGTGTATAAGGGTGATTAGGTACCAGTTGAAAGGTTTTTTTTTTATTTAACTCAACTTTTGATGATGGGTTTTGCTAACATAGAATAGTCGAGTATTTTTATTAGGATGTCGATTGAAATGTAAATAATGTTTTTCTGGTGGCTTTTACACAAAGTCATTCGACATTTTGGATTTTTATTTTTGAAATGAAAGATACATTATCGTAAGGCAGCAACAATATAGCTATTGAGTAAAGGATTATTTCTTATACACCGAGAAAACGAAGTCATTAAACTTAATAGAAAAAATTTGATAACCATTAATGAATTACCTTATTTTCGGTTAATACCAATAATTAAGGTGATTACAGCATCCCCTTATAATTTTCGGACAAGTATATCTCAAAAAGTTATTT